AGCAGAGCTTATCATTTTATTGTTTTATTTGGGAGGGGGGAATGAAGTAGGGGCTGCTTTACTTGCAAAGGGGAAGGAAGACCCTGGAAAAATAAACATTTAGTGTGTGGTGCGCGCGCTGATGCCTCCAAGGCGCCCCCACCACCGGGCAAGCGGTCAATAGGTAACGAGAAACTGCCAGGCACCCAAATTTATAGCCCGGAGGGCCGGAAAGAGCAGGGCTCCCTCCACCCCCTCCCTATTGCTCCGCCGCCACCCCCCTCCTCCTCCCGTCTCCAGATCGCCGGGAAAAGGGGGAGTTGCAGAAGCCCTTCAGGCGTGGGATCCAAAATCCAGCCTTCCTCCCGCGCCTCCTCACCCTCCCGCCCCGCTGCTTCTCCTCCAGGAGAATTTTCCCTGCTCGCCGTCATTCGCGAGCAGCCTCCGCCGCGTGTCCCCCCCGCTTTCCCTCCCCGTTCCCATCCCCATCCCACCCGCCCGCCGGTGGGGCCGGGACCGGGACCGGGGCTGGGGTGATGAACCGGCTCGCCGGCCGCACCGCACCGCACCGCGCCGAGGCGGCCGCCGCGGGCGGCTCCGCAAAGTTTCCCTCGCAGCCCGATGCCCTTCCCAGGTGTAGAGGCAGAGCTAGGTAAGTGCGCTGCAGATGCCGGGGCCCATGTGGTTATTGCGATTATTTCGAGTGTTATCGCTATTATAAATATTTTAGCCTTAAGGAAAAAAAAAAAAAAAAAGAAAGGTAGTCCCCAGGGGTTAGCAGCTCACCCTGCGAGTCGCGCCTTTGCCGGCTGCAGGCTGCAAAGGGGGATATATGCTTTTAAGAGCACTCTCGGGCACCCCCTTCTCCAAAAAGAGGGGGAAGGCAGGGGGGACACGGAGCACCCAGGTGCCGTTGATGGACGGTGGCACCGGCTTGGAGCTGGGGGCATTTCTGTGCCCGGCAGAAGGTGTCTGTGTGCGCTGCAAGGCGGCAGACACCCCCGGAGCCTTTTGCCTCCAAACCCGCACCAAATCCATGCAGTTCGCGTAGCCTTGCCGGGAAGCAGGGGGAGAAGATCCCCCTTAGCCTCGGCACTTCATTGCCGGCGGCTCTTCCAGACCCCTCTCCCCCGGCGCAGGGCTGGATGACTCAGAAAAAAAAAGAGCAAGATCGAGGCTTTGGGGGCTTTTTCCCCCCCCTCCCTTATTTATTATTATGGCTATTATTTTGCTGGTGGGCAGCTGGGTGGGAGTAGCCTCCCTGCTTGTGCTTAACCCCCTCAGGTCTCAGCGCTGCTCTGGGGCAGCCATAGGGCAAAAAAAGGAGATAAAGGGGCTATAGGATGCGAGCCCCACGCCTTTAACCATGCCCCTGCTGTGCCTTTAGCAAGGGCTCGCTGGGCAGTTTGGCAGCGTTTCCTTRGGGAGTTGCAGAAAAGGGGGACTTTGTGAACTGGAATTGCTGTTATTTTGCAAGGCAACGTTCCCAGTATCCAGGGTTTCTGTTAGGGATAAGCAAGCCAGTGGGAAATACGTAGTGAGCAGCAAAGTAAATGTATGCCTGGCAGATGAACGTAATGTGCATGATGAGTGGGGAGGGTTACAGCATGGAAAACAGGTGCAGATCCTTACCGGAATGAAGGCCAGTGTGAGACAGAGCTGATAAAAACACACGTATATATGTATATACACAGGTATATATGTATATACACAGATATATGTGTGTATATGGATAGTGTAATTCAGACAGGCACGCAGCTGGCTAGCAAGTAGGACTGCAGAAAACACAGCAACTTATTTGCTAGAAAAATCCCCCATCTCACTTGACTTCAGCCACCCAAGGATGCTTGCAAAAAAAGGAAGAGCAAAGTCGCAACTCGCAAGCGGCTGCCTTTTCCATATAGACGTATAGGATATATGCCTATAGGCATAGGCAAATAGCCAGCATGGCCCTACGTGCATTCCTGGAAGTAAGGAATAACTTGGGTGCAACAACCCTTGCAGGCAGGTGCGGAGTTTGGGTTTTGCTGCCCAAAGGCAGCGCTGATGGTGCCGGGGAGTTRCTCGAGTTAAACATGTGAGTCCTCCTTACTGTGGGACCCAGATTGGGGATGAAAAGCCTGAATTTCTTTTTCTCGGCATCTGCGTGTAGCTGGAGAGCTGTAGCCTTAGGCACCGCTGCCTTGCCGCCTTTGCAGAAGCTCCTATAGATTGGTGCCTGCTGCTAAGTCTCCTCTCCACTCGTGTGCATAATTTCAGCGTGTGTTGGCGGGAGAGGGAACCATCCGCTGTGTTTTCGGGCAGCTGATGCCCCTGCAGCGAGGGGGAACCTCCCCCGCTGACATGGGGCTCACTTGAGCTGCTGCRCTGGGGGCTCCTGAGACTCTGCAAGCAAAAATATCGACTAGGAGAGAGGGAAAACAAGTAGCTGGGTGTTGTACGGAGCCAACTGCAGAAGGCACCGTCTGCTCACAACAACCCATGAATCCAACAGGGATTTAACTGCCTGGCCTTGTCCATTCCCATTTTTTTTTTCCCCCCCCATCGTTGCCCAAATGCCATAGCGGAGCGTTAATTGCTCCTCTGTCTCGCTGTTAGTGCCGGCATGTCTGGAAAGTTGTTTTTTAGTCATAGGAAAGGGCTGAGACTTCTCTGTCCTAAAGAAGGGCTCAGATTTAAGGGATTATTCAGCTTCATTTTGCACAGGCTTGGGGCATCTGGTGGTGAGCAGTCTAGAAAATTGAGACTGCTTGAGACTTCAGCGGAAAAATGCAATGTGTACCTAAAACAAAGCAAAAAATCTTTTTTTTTTTTTTTTCCTCTCTCTCTCTAAACTAAGGAGCCTCTGAAAATCTAAATGGAAAAATTTGGGAGATCACTCAATTTCTCCAGAATTTCCTTTTGGAAGAAAGGAGTGGTGGGAGGCACTAGAGGATGCTACCTGGAAGTATTGAGTGTTTGCTAGCTGTCATATGTGTCCACTGCCTCCCTTTCTCATTCCTCCCAGAAGTAGACATGGTTTTATTTTGTTTCTTTTTTCTCTTTTCCTCCTGAAATCTCTGTAATTGCCCAAAAGGCTTTTTGAGATTTTTGAATTTGACAAAAATACCTTTTCAAGAAAGTCTCATTAAAGAAAACCATCCTGTTAGAGTCT